GAAAGCCAAGTCTGTATGCGTCATCTGCGTAAGTCAGCCTTATACTAGTGTGAACATTTACGTTGTAGATAAGGCGCAAGTGTTATACTAGTGTGAGTTTTTTATTTTTTTTTAATCCATCTTTTCGTTTGGTCCTCCCCTGTGTGAGGGGCCTCGTCCCACTTGCACCGTTAAGTTGAGCTACCTCAACGGTGTGACAACTTTTCAAGCATTTTCTTATTCCGTAGAAAAGAAGAATGCATTTGTTTTTTATTTTTTTTTCCCGCCCAAACATTTCTTTGGAATTTTCGTTTTCTTTCCCGTGTAGCAAATCAATTCATGTCACTTGCCACATTAGGAAAGTCGACAGGTCTTTTCCCATCTTTCCATCTCTCTCTCTCTCTCTCTCTCTCTCTCTCTCTCTCTCTCTCTCTCTCTCTCTCTCTCTCTCTCTCTCTCTCTCTCTCTCTCTNTCTCTCTCTCTCTCTCTCTCTCTCTCTCTCTCTCTCTCTCTCTCTCTCTCTCTCTCTCTCTCTCTCTCTCTCTCTCTCTCTCTGAGTCTCTCTCTCTCTCTCCGTGTGTATGTGACGGATGTAGATATTGTGAACCTGAATGGGAAGTTGTCCACATTCAGGGCACACAAACAGACGGTACAGCTGCGGATAAACAGCTATAGAAAGAACATTCCCGTGAAAAAAGCTAAAGAAGGCGCGGAAAAAGGATGAATGAAACGTCAACAGTCAACAAAAGCTGAAAAATACGCAACTCACAAAAAAGAATAAAAAAAAATGCATTGAACTGGCTACAACGCAAAAAAAGGCAGCTAGCTCAACGCGAGGGCGCTAGGGTAGGAGGCTATATATTCGAGTTTTTTAGGTTTCTTTGAGGCTATGTCATAATTTAACAAAACAACAACCACGTGGCTTTGCAGAAGAAAAAAAAGAACCTATAGATTCTCCTACTATTTTGCATCGCCGACGTCGGGCTTTGTCCCACGTGATAGAAATCTCAAGTTTGAGCTAACTCAATGGTGCAAGTGGGACGAGGCCCCAGGCACACTTGCCCTGAATGGAAAGTGTCAGGGTCGCGATTTCGTCCTTTCTAGACGAGGTCCGCCCGTGTGACCACGCGGGGACCAAATGCCTAAAAAAAACAGATTCTGAACTAAATGCCTAGAATTTTCAGACTTTTGGTCCCCGTGGGCATGGTCCCACTAGCAACCGGATAGGATAGAAAAAAGTTTGTGTGGCAGTTGAGTGACCCAAATCCTGCCGTGCAGTACTGGTGATCCCAGATCTTGGTTCCCCTCCGTTGGGGCCATGGCCAACCCCGGCCATAGGCCCGCTGGATAGAAAGTTTTCAGTATTTTGCTTGCTGTTTTGCAATTATCTCATTGGGTGGAGCACTCCTTCAATCACGGAGTATACGGAGGGCGTCAGGATCACTGCTGACAGAAGTTGAGTTTATTACAGAAAATGTGGCAGTTACTTTCTGCACTGTTGTTGCAACTACCACCATCAGATCGTTTGTGATCTGATGACTGGGAAGCACTCTACCGTGATTTCAGGTGGGAGGTCTCTGTTTCTTTTTTTTTTTATTGCCTTTCTCCAGTTTTCTCACCCCTGAAATTCGTAACGAACCTGTCAGCCCGCTGCCACTCAGTGTCACACTGGATCGGCCACATTCCTATCTGACTGGCAACTGCTAATGGGACCACTGTGAGTATGCCCTGATGATTGTTGAATTTTCCATTTTACTTTTTAGAAAATATGGACAAAGATTTCAGTGGCATTTGGTTATTCATTGTTTTTTGGGAAATAGGGGAAGAAAAGCTTTCAGCAGCATTTGATTCTCCTTTTTTGCCTCTGTTTCGAGGTTTTAAGGGCCTCACCACACCACAGTCGAAAGGCCAAAAAATTCGACGGCAGTCAGAACAAATTCGGCAGCCTCCACTCGGCAGTTTCCCCTCCCTTCGCCACACAGCACTGTAGAGTGCACGCACTTGTGAAAGCAAGATGGAGGGTAGGACAAGCATCAGTCCATCCCGACCTTACCCCCACTCACCAAATTTCTAAGCGAAGTCGACGGCGCAGCCGAGGAGTGTCGAAAGCATCGGAGTAGCAGGCTGGGGATTCAACAACTTTAGACAATAGGTGTCGAGAAGCATTCTCTGACAACTTGCAAATTTTCTTCCCGTCTCCGACTTCGACAGCCTGTGTGGCGAAGAGGAACTGTCGAAAATAACATTTTGGACAGTGCCACACCAATGTCGAAAACTTCATTTTCGACATTTTCTCCTCGCCACACAGCATGTTGAAATCCGAGATGCAAAAAAAGTTCAGGAGCTGTCAGGGAAAGGGTTTCGACACCTCCTATCGAGAAGGGCTCGTTTCCCAGCCTGCAACTTGGAGATTTTCAACAGTCCTCGGATGGGATGTAGAATTCTTGCCCGAATGTCGAAAAAGRGAAYGCACCAACGCTTGTCCTATCTTCACCCCAGTTTGTCTTTTTTGTGCATAGGACTCGTGAGTTCTTCACTTCGCCATGCTGTGTGGGGAAGAGGGTTTTTCTGTCGAAAGAGGGAATGTCGAAAATTTCCTGACATATGTCGAATTCCGTGATGTTTCGACATTCGTGTGGCGAGGCCCTAAGAGGCTCACCACACAGGCTGTCGAAAACCCGGTTTTCGACAAGTTTGCATCGCCACACAAACTTTCGCTCAAAAACTTTCGACAGGTGTCAGGATGGCACTTTCGACAGCCGCCCTCCAGCAACCGTTTCCTCCAGCCTGCAGGTGATGGAAATTAGACAGTGGCCCGCCCACCTTTCGAAAAACGCCTCCGATTTTCCATTCTCCGGGATTGCTCCTGACAGCCGTTGCCTGTTTGTCCGTATGTAGTCAACAGTTGCTGTCGAAAACGGCGTTGACATCTGGTCCGCTTGCGCGCACAAATTCATCCCTATAACAACTCCCGACAGGCCACCGCCTTTGTCGAAAGGCTGAGTCGACCTGGCAACTGTCAGAAAATTTTCGACATTCGACAGCCTGTGTGGCGAGCCACACCAATGTCGAAAACTGCATTTTCGACATTGGGCCTCGCCCCACGGCGTGAAACGAGTGCATCTACCCACGAAAGGTGGAAACATACACTCGTTACTATTTATAGCTAAGCGATGAACCTGGCCATTTTCTGCTGGCGGATTCACTCATTCCGTTTTTCTTTTGGTGTGCCGTGCGGCGACGCCCATTTTCTCCTCGCCACACAGCATGTCGAAATCCGAGATGCAGAAAAAATTCAGGAGCTGTCAGGGAAAGGGTTTCGACAACTCCTGTCGAGAAGGGCTCGTTTCGCAGCCTGCAACTTGGAGATTTTAAGGGGCTCGCCACACCAGCTGTCGAAAGTGCATTTTTTCAACAATTGTTGTCGAAAACTCGAAAGGTAGAGTTTCGACAGAAACCCCCCCCTCGGCCACACAGCACTGTCGAAGTTAAGGGCTCGTGATATCAAGTGCAGAAGAGACAAACCCGCATGAGTATAGGACAAGCATTTCTCCAGCCCAACCACAGTCCCGCTCAACAAGCTTCGAGGAGAACTCGATAGGTTGGCGGTGGACTGTCGAAAATGCCTATGTTGCAGGCGGGCGAGACCTTGAATTCGAAAGGAGCCGTCGAACGCCGACTTCTGACAGGTGTAGAAGATGTGTCGACATTTTTTTGTTCGACAGGTGGTGTGGTGACTCGGACTGTCGAAAATTGCACTTTTGACAGGTAGTGTGGCGAGCCCCTAAACAGTCCTCGGATGGGATGCCGAATTCTTGCCCGAATGTCGAAAAAGAGAACGCACCAAAGCTTGTCCTATCTTCACCCCAGTTTGTCTCTTTTGTGCATAGGACTCGTGAGTTCTTCACTTCGCCATGCTGTGTGGCGAAGAGGGTTTTTCTGTAGAAAGAGGGAATGTCGAAAATTTCCTGACATATGAGGCTCGCCACACAGGCTGTAGAAAGCCCCGTTTTCGACAATTTTGCATGGCCACACAGACTTTAGAAGAATTGCGGCTCAAAGAACTTTCTACAGGTGTCAGGATGGCACTTCCTACGGCCGCCCTCCAGCAACCGTTTCCTCCAGCCTGCAGATGACGGAATTGGACAGTGGCCGGCCCACCTTTCGAAAAACGGCTACGATTTTCGGTTGTCAGCACTGCTCCTGACAGCCATGGCCTGTTTGTCCGTATGTAGTCAACAGTGGCTGTCAAAAATGTCGTCTGCATCTGGTCTGCTTGCGTGCACAAATTCGTCCATGTAACAACTCCCGACAGGCCACCGCCTTCGCCAACTTGGCAACTTTCGACAACCTCGCCCCTCCACAGGCGATGTGGGGAAGGGGGGCGATATTGTCGACCGCCCTACCTTCGAAAAGTTTCTGACACCTGTCGAAAATTTTCGACATAAGACAGCCTGTGTGGCGAGCCTGGATGTCGAATTTCGTGATGTTTCGACATTGGTGTCGCAAAAACCGCGTCACACCGTTGCGTTGAGAAAGTTCACGGGTGCATGTGGCAGTTGGCCCCCATGTGAGTATGCCCTCAGATCGTGTCTTGCAAGCTTGGACGCCTGACCGAAAGAAAAAAAAACAGAAACAAATCTCTCTGCTAAAGACCCCCTAGGGCGCGAATTCGAGGCCGCTTCTTATCGGAGGCGGCGGGGCAAGAGTAGCATTTCCCGAGGCGTAAATAATGGTGTAAATTCGAGTCAGAGCGTAAATTTGACTCCTTGAGCCGCGCCCGCTGTACTGTACTTCCGAGTCCGGTTTTCGTCCCGGCGGTGACCGGGGGCGCGGCATTTCTTTTGTTTCGGGTTGGTCGGTAGGGAACCCGGGCAGGATGACAGAGCTAATAAAAGCGCGCGTGTGCCTGCTCGTTCATCCATTCATCGTTCATCTATCAATTCGAGCGGAATTTCAGCGCATGAAGAACGCGAGCTCTCATAGAGCGCGCGGAATCGTATAACGTGCGAGGTAGCTGGGCTGGGTTGGTCGCCTCAGTGGAACTGCGGCTTGTGTTGGAGCCGTGACCATTCAGTAAGCTGATCAACTTTCGAACGGCGACATTGCTTGAGACTGAGAGGCATCAGCGTTACCGTCGTGGTAGCTGATCAACACTATTGTACCTTGGGGTAGGGAAGGAAGTGGCGGGTTAACGGGATTACCCCATCTATGTTGAAGTAGAGCGCTCGTTCTGGGCTTGCTTCTTATAGAGAGAGTGAGGTTCAGCGGGAGGAAGGGTTTGTGACGGGACGGTTAAGGGCGACCACAAGCGCTTTGGCAAGACGAGAGAGAGAGAGAGAGAGAGAGAGAGAGAGAGAGAGAGAGAGAGAGAGAGAGAGAGAAGAATGGCGAACCGTGGAGGTGGAGATACGTGGAGGGGGTCGTCGTCGGCCGTGATGGAGAACACTGGAGGAATGTCCAGACTGGAAGAGCGACTGCGCGCTCTGGAACTGAACCATGGAAATCTCATCATCGCGTTCGACTTCGCAGCGCGAAACTTGACGGCTGGCAGATCGTCGTTCGGCGGCCGTTGTCTTCATGCTGTCAATCAGGGGGATCCGAATCCGTACATGATATCTGCTGCCATGATTGGCCGCGTCGTCGGCGACCTGAGCTCGAGGAGCGCCCGGTCCGTGCTGCTTGGATTTGGCGCCAGCAATCAGCCGGGCGTGTTCTCTATCGGATCGTCGAGTACCTCACCTCGATGTGAGCTGGAGCCGGGATTGTGGAGATACAAGCAGATCGCGCCTCAAGTGACTCTTGGGCATTCCTCCTCCTTCGCGGCACCCATCGACGCTGCCATGAAGATCGTACAGCAGGACGGTTTCCATGTTCTAATCATTGTGACCTGCGGTCGGGGKAGTGACCTTGGYGCAGAGGCGGAGGAGAGCATCATGGCATTGAAGAAGGCAAGCAAGTATCCTCTCTCCGTTGTCTTCGCSGTTGTTGGGGACGGGCCATGCAGCGGATTACACAACCTTAGAATGCGCCTTGGTGTGGAGGCCTCTAAGGAGGCGACGATTGCCCTGAGCAATATCACCATCGTCGATTTCCAAGAGCACTTCTCGAAGCCGCACACATTCGGAGAGAAGCAGATCCGTTTTGCGTCCGCTTGTCTSGACGSTCTGCYAGACCAGTACCGGTCCTTCCGCGACAGAAGCATCCTCAATTGTCATCMGYGCAYGCACKCTGGAACGGCCAGGGTTGAAATCCCTCCGTGCCGTCTGCAAGGGGAGGACAATTCCAACGGCGGCGCGAGATCGCAACTCTTGAGCGGTGGGTGGGCAACGGGATACGGACCTTATTCGACAACCTACTACAGGGCGTCGTCCGCGAGATCCTCCGAGGACTGTAGCTATGCTGCCAGCGGGAGTGGCTATTCCGGCGCTGACTCGAGCCTGGGTGCGAAGCAGGGACCGAACCAGAGTGGGAGTGTGTCATTGCCCAGAGCTCATGCTGCTGCAGGAGGGTCGAGGTTGGTCGGTGCTGGACCACCGTTCGCCAATGATCGTCTCGCTTCCCCATCGAGCTCAGCGGCCGGGTTCAGCCTGCACAGGGAAGGCATCTGTGACATCTGTTTTACTGCTAAAGCGTCTGCGCAGTTCTCAGACTGTCGACATAGCACATGCGTTTCGTGTGCGCAGCAAATGCGCTCTTGGTCGAAGAACCGGACGATGGCATGCCCGTTCTGTCGGGCGAAGGTGAACGGGTGGAAGAAACGGTCGATTTAAGCCTGTATGCGGCTCCAAAGGCTTCCGTGACGAGGGGCTAGGCGTGCCCAATTTGTTCAATCATTAAGTGCAGTGATCTACTAGTAGAGGAAACATGAAGAGTCTGGACGTGTAAATAGTGTAAAGAAGAGCAGTCATCCTGACGACATTCTATAACGGAGGTACGAGTAGTAAGCTGTGATTTGTAAATTTTAGCGCATAGACGTTGGCGACGACGTTTAGAAGAGGGCAATAGGTATTCGGTCAAGCTTTTCAAATGATCCTCGCTCGTTGTGGGGGGCGATTTTGTTAATAAAAAGTGCTCTGTCAGCTGCCGTCGTTCCCGAATCCGCTGGCTTCGGAGAGACGGTATGCGGCTGAGTATGGCGGTCGATCGTACGGTTGTGTGGCGCCGTTGATCGCCCTATCTGGGAGAGATCCCTGTGCGACGTTGAAGAACGGCAGCACTCAAATTCGACGTCTTGCTGTTCTTCTTTTGTGCATTCTTAATTTCCAGTCCCGTATACGGACTGGCTTCCGATGTTAATACTGTTCTATTCGTTCTTCCTGCTGTAGTGTAAAATAAAAAGCAGTGTGCTTTCGTGAGTTGGTGTGAGACTGTGAGTGCGCATTTGTAAGAGGGATAGAGTGCGAGGGGGAGTGATGAGGAGGAGGGGGGGAGGGGGAGGGTCAGGGGAAGGGGGCGAATCGAGGGAGGCTCTTCGGTCCGAGCCATGGCGGTCCGGTGGAAGGAATCGGCTAGGCAAGTTCTAGGGCTATTAAATTATCTTACGGAGGGTGTTTCATTGCCGCGGGAGTTCTTGGCGTGCTGCATTTGACACGTAAGAATAGTAGGACCAGTAGGCGCGATTAAGGAGATCTCGGCGAAAATGCGTCGTTATTGTCCGAAAAAGCAAGAGCAGCATTCTTCCGTCGGTGGTCTCGGAATCGACGGCCTTGTCAAATGGGTCGATATTCTCCGGAACGGAAAGAGCGGCGATCTTATTGTATGCATCGGGCTGCGGACCGGCGCCCTTGTGGAGAGTTCTCTTGTGTTTATGGTAGCGAAGGTAGGGATGTTCCTTCAACGAATTTTTGGCTTGTTCATGCTGAGGGTTTAGAAAAGTGAAATGAAAAGCCAAGAGCAGCAGCTGTTGAGCAGAAAGAAAGAGTTCGCAAATTTCGCAAATTTCGCAAATTTCGATGCGATGCGAAATTTCGAAATTTTGAGGTCTTGGTAACGTTCCGCTCAGCTCAGCGTGAGCAGGATCGATGTTTCCGCAGATCTCAGGAAACTCCGTATTTTTTTTTTCCGGGTACTCGATGGATATTTTTTCTGGATGTATGTTGTGAGGATTTGATTCACGTTACGTGTTGCTTTGTTCGTGTTTCCATTCGGTGATCTCGAATTATTTTGCGGAGCGGATTCTCTGCGTTTCGAGCAGGCCGCTGGAACTCTCGTCTTATGGTCTGAGAACGCGGTCTCAAGTAGTGCGAGTGCGGATTCTGCGGAAGCTCTTGCTTTGTTCGACTCACCTCTGGCCGTAATTGCGGTCTGTCGCATCAGTCCGTGGTCGTGATGACAGCCGGAGTCATTAGGGAGAGTGCTAGTGTGAGTGCGCTCTCAGAGTTTGCTTCTTTCCTGTCACCAGAGTGCTCATCTTTACCATTGCTTTTTGCCGATGCGCTGCTACAGCCGTCCTCTCCTGTAATTTTCTCGGAGACGATCATTCAGGTAGCAGGATATTTCAAGAGTCCAGATGTCAATTTAGGCCTACAGATTCCGATAATGGTGATTTATCCCTTGATTAATTGGTTGATGAGTTGATTTGTTGATTGATTGATTGGCTAATTGATTGATTGGTTGATTGGTTGTCGATCATAATATTCTGGAGGCCTACAGATTCCCATGATGGTGATTCATCGATTGGTTGATTGATTGGTTGATTGATTGTTTGATTGATTGGTAGACCGTTTCACTTATTCAATCTCGGGGTTTCGTCATGTTTCAGTCTTGTCTATTTGAGGATGACACGGCGCCCTCATGTTTTGCTCGAGGACGCCGAGTTAATGAAATTCCCACAGTCGGCTGCGGAGTCGTTCAAGCAACTGGGGAACCAGCGGCTTTCGGTGACACGTGTTTCTTCGGATAGCGATGATACATCGCTGACAAGATGGAACATGTCAAAAGTACGCGCGCGTCGAGATGGGTTTCTTCGGATAGCGATGATTGATAACGCGTCCTTCAGTACGCGCGCGTCGAGATGGGTACGAATTGTGTAGGACGATTGACCCCTCTTCCCTCATCCTGAGGTGCTGCCACTGTCCCTAGGCCGGCGTACATAGGTTCTGTCACCAGGCTTGTGGGTTAGAGCGGAGATTGTGAGGTGAAAAAACGGTCAGGAGAGAGATGGCCCGTGTGGACAGAGAAAGGCTCGTGTTGTAAGGCGGTGTTGAGAGAGACAGTGGTCGATGGGCGTCGAGGTAGTGATGAAAGGGGAGAGGTGGAGGGAGGTCACCATGGAACGTCGCCAATTTTCAGCTCGGGCTATTTTTTAAGGAACATGGTTGCAAAGGGGAGCCGTGGAGGGAGGTGGATATTTCGCACTTGCTGCATCTTTTTGAAAACATGTTACAATTTTTTGATTAATAAAGATCGACCTTTGTCGACAACGAGTTCTTTGCCAACGGATATAAAATAATGAACCACGAGTTCTTTCCGATTTATCTTTGGTTAAATCTGTAAAATTTTCAGGTTGTCTCCGTAGTGCTCACCGACACCGTGAGGAGAGTGATTATTTTTTTGTCTGCGTCGTGCGCACCTTCAGCGGGGTTTTTTCTTTTTCGCTTTACTGTTGCGTTCATGTATGTATTTCCCTGAAGCATCATCGAGGTATCCTCGAATTTTCATCCTTGCAGTTTGCTGGAAAAAGTAAATTTTGCTCGCAATCATACTGTGATTAGCGTCCTCTCTTCTTTCGGTTTCTTTTTTCTATTTTTTTTATTTTTTTTTAGTTTAGTGGGATCATCTCCCTATTTAATTGCGGCATCCTGGCACAAGCACCCTGCTTTCTTTCTCAGAGTCGGTCCTATGGGTCTCGTTCCACTACTCATCTCATGAAAAACGACAAAAAACTATGACGGTGTATCTCCCCATGTTCTAGCGGACGATTCATTCTCATTTTGCGCATTTGGTGAGTAGTGGAGCAAGGCCCTGTTTTTTAATTGGATGTTTTACTTGTCTAATTGGAGTTGGTTTGGATTTCTTTCTTCATATCCTCCTGTGCGAAATCTTGTGAATCAAGGCAAGGTATGTTTCAGCGAAATCGGACTTTGCCATGTCTTACTTTCTTAAACTGAGGTGTCAGCAGTGGAAGTCTCGGTAGATTGAATGCGGCGCCAAACGGGCAGTTACTATCAAGGATTGGGATTGGAACCCACTGGCTGAGGGTGCACTGATTCGATTGGMATSTCGGCCGTTCAATKGCAATTGSAARTCGAACTCGAGATTGAGATGGCTAATCYGAGAGATCGCACCGTCACCCCACACCGAGAGTATAAAGTAGGCATCCCAGTGATGTAATGACCGCAAGTTACTGGCGAGCTTATTGTCATCATCTATTATCCAGTGTGAGCATGTCATGGACCACCACGAAATGAACGAAGAGGGCCGTAGAAAGTGACAACACGGAGAGGCGCAAGGCAGACACAGTGTGAAATGTATATGGGAGGAGCCGGCCATGCAGAGCCGCGCGTGCGCCTGTGGGTGGCCGCGAGAGCGTGCGTGTGAGTGTGAGTGTGCGTGCGCGTGTCGGTGTGTGTGTGTGTGCGTCTGTGCGTGTGTGCATGTGCGTGTGTGTGTATGAGTGAGAGAGAGAGAGAGAGAGAGGGGGGGGGGGAGAGGAGGGTTGGGGGGAGAAAGAGAGAGGAGGGGAAAGGGAAGAGCGCGGAGGGTAGCAGCGGGCGAGAGAGGCCGTCACACAGGGAGCCTATCGACAAATGTTTAGACATGCCCAGGGGTGGACATATGTCACGAACGTGGAGGCGTGTGTCACAAGGAAGGGTGACACATGGCCTCGCTCCACTACTCTCGAGATATGTGCAAAAGAAGAGTGAATGTTCCAGTAGAACATGGAAAGATACATGGCCATGATTTTTGTCTTTTATGGATGTCGAGAATAGTGCGAGATTCTTTCCCACAGGAAAGAAAAACCGGAAGGGTCCACAGCTGGCCAAGAACGTACGTTCCGTTGTTTGTCCGAGCCTCTTCCGAGGCAGAAATTTGCTGCGCTCGAAAACAGCAAACCGCCATTGGCTGAGAGGCGTTGTCAGATAGGAGAGATTAGTTAAAGGGCGATGGCCTTGCGGTATTATCATCAGACTAACCAGCCCAGGTAAATTCAATATTGTGTCTGGCCTTGATTGCCTTCAGGGAACCCCCAATGGGGGACAGCGGCCAGGGGACAGCCGGTAGCAGAGGGACCGAGCATCATCTGAGTGGCCAGTCGCTGTGCCGAAACCCGAAACCCTATTACCCCTCCCCCTATGAACATCAGCAGAGACTGCCTTTTCTTTTTAATGCCAATTTGCAAGCGAGGCCGGCTAATGCTCACGGTAAGTTTTACGGATCATTTCCGGGTCGACTGTGGGGACCCACTTGCGCAGATTAGGTCCCACTTGCGCAAATGAGGAGATTTCGGCCGTTGATCTTCGCTATCTACGGTCAGCAACTCTTAATTCGTCCCCGTTTCTCAGCTTGTACCTAAAAAACAAAACGAAAAAAAACAGCAAACCGCCACCCACAGAGTGCCCGTCGGCCGACAGCGCCGTGCCGACCGAATTATTAGTTCCCGTCGGCCGACAGGGCCACGCCGACCGAGTGCGCATTGTGGCTAGGCTTCCAAAAACACAATCATAAACAGGGCCTTGGACTCCACGCCAGGTGGTTTGAAGATACTGATGGCTCAGAAATCTCTGCAATTGTTTTCATCTTCGCTATCGGCGCCTCGCACGGCTGCCCTCCTCGTCGTTGCCAGATGAGGTTCCTGTGACACTGGTTCTTGAATTTTGCCTTGAGACTTCGGGCCTCGCTCCGCTACTCGCCAAATGTGCAAAATGACAATGAACCCTCTGCTAGAACATGGAATGATACACCGCCGTAGTTTTCGTATTTTGTCATGTAGAAAGTACTGCAGCGAGGACCTTCCCGTGACACTGGGCCTCTCTCCACTGTTACGGAAATGGACAGTGGGACGTCGCTCCACGCTCCACTTAGCGCCTGGCCAAACCACTCTTTTTTTTTGGGAGGATTGTCACAGCAATTTCATTTCAAAATCATGGGAGCGAGGCCGGGGACCTCACAATTCTTTTTTTTTTTTTTTTTTTATAAGGGGCCCTGTGCCCAAGGCTTTAAATTTAGACTTTACAGTTGCCTGGGGCCGGGGTCCTCACAGTCTACCTGGAAACAAAGAAGATTCATCTGGGAGCCTTACCCGGTCTCGCTTTTTACGAGACCCTTTGGGACCCGGAATCCTGAATTGCAACCTCACACCACTGAACTATCTTCGGACTTCGTGTTTTCGTTTCGGCTTTCTGGAATCTGGACTTGGGTTTTGCTCATACTTGTCCTTGCAATTTTTGTCTCGATTGCATTATGTGTATGATTACGGAATAAATGGATGTACGGATGCCATGTTTGATTGCCTATCTTTTGCGGAGGAACCCTTGTCTTTGCTTTTGTTGATCGCATTCGATGCACTCGTGTGTAGAATAGGGATTTTGCGCGATCGATAATCCTGTCTTTGTCTCTGCTTGTCTTTAGATCAAGCTGTTTGTGATCCTTGCATCTTGCATAACTCAGAGCTTCACGAGGCGATTAGGCGGTCGGATGCCGGGCTCAGCGAACGCCGCGCGAGGACACGTGTAAGACGCGATCTAAGTTGCGCACTTACACATATTCTCGGGCGTCGACTCGTCGGGACCATCAATCCGTCCGATTGAGAGCGGCCATCTCGAAATCCGCCACGGCGCAATCGTCTCGTACAAGCACGCGTAAGTCCAACGATAGTCGCGCGGCCTGCACGTGCTTGCACGAAGCAACCGTGACCTGTTCTTTAGGCAACTCATAATATCGCGATGTCATGATGACGCGATCCTGGGATTCCGACTCATCCAACGACCAGGATTATTTAACACCCCTTGGATAAACGAACTCCTAAGGCAGCGATACCCCTGCCACACTGAGAATCGACTGTGTCCTCGAGAGTTCCACTGCGCCACCACTAGCGACCCCCTGTGCTCTGATTTCCCTTCTCCCGACCATACCTACTACTTTATCCACTCGGGATTTGTCGTCATCACCACCAGTTTCCCTCCTTTTCGCCTTCTTCTCCCGTATCGTCAACTCAGCGTTGTTCCGTGGCCGGCCATAGCCCCCTACTGGCCCAGCACGCCCTGCGGAAATTGCCGACGTAGCGGCGAACGGACAACCCCAGAATTCCGAACGCCCAATTCAAACACGCAGCGGCCTGCGCCATGTGGCGGCCTCCGACGGCCCAACTTTTCGGGACCACCTCCTCCGCATGGGGACTTCCCCGTAAGCGGTCGTCCACAATACCCAGGCCCCATCGGGCATTGAGTCCCTCGCGCACGCGCACCTTATTCGCCTAATTGCAGTCATACCCCTAAGACTCCCCCACTTTCCCCAAAAATCCTTGGCACACCCCTTTTCGCACTTCCAGGCCCGCATCCCACTCCGATCAGGAAGTCGCGCTGGGCGTGAGGTTTGGGCGTCACAACCAACGGAGAGGTGCACATTGCAAATTCGCACCCAGGGGCATATCAGAATGAATGCAGGCAAAAGGGCATTGGGTTGTACGGACATCTCTAGGGGGATTTTGGCACTTAACTCAACTTTGAGGGGTATACAGATCTTTTCAATAAAAAAAACAAAGGAAACGGAAACCCAAAAAGCCAACCCATCTACAGCTGCCTATCTCAGTTGGTAAGGCTCGCAAGTGGCATTCAGGACGTCTTGGGTTCAATACCCACCGGCCTCATGTTCCTTCCTGGGCACGCTTGGTGCCGGCCACCTCGAGATAGCACGTTGGTCCCCCCAATTGGCATTATACCACCAGTACTTGGGCAACGCCTTAGCGTTAACGCGGCCGGCGGGCCGTTGATAAATCGAATTGACAGCCCGTGCTGCTTCGAGATTTGGGCAGCCGGCACGGCGCGCAGTGCCCAAGTACTGGTGGTTTAAACCACCAGCACTTGGGCAACGCCTTAGCGTTAACGCTACGCGATTTCCGCGGCCGGCGGGCCATAAATAAATCGAATCGACAGCCCGCGCTGCTTCCAGATTTGGGCGGCCGGCGCGGCGCGCAGTGCGCATGTACTGGTGGTTTAAAAAGCAGTCTCTGCTGATGTTCATTGGGGAAGGGGTTATCAGGGAGGCACAGCGACTGGCCACTCAGATGATGCTCGGTCCCTCTGCTACCGGCTGTCCCCTGGCAGGTGTCCCCCAGTGGGAGGCAACAAGGCCACCCTGGGCTGAAAAGGCCACCGGATGTCAGATTAGACACAAGATTGAACTTACCTGGGCTGGTTAGTCCGATGATAACACCTCAAGACCATCGCCCTCTTAAAAATAAAAATAGAAAAATATCTCCATAGGCTTCCACTTAACGCGCATTGACGACGCATAACGCCAGTCCGCGCAGTCACAGGACAACCGTGTTCACCGGCACAAGGCACACTCGTCTGCACGGTATCTCGGAGGACGACAGTAGCCAATCACGCCCGACGTCCGCCTGCGAGTCCTACCTATAAATGAAACGGAACTTCATGCAGGTTGTCATTCGAACGAACAAAGAAAGCCATCGCTAGTTTAGCGTTAGCACACCAGATACGATCACTGGCGGCCTTTCCCGCTGCAAATCTTCCCGCCGGCAGCAATTCCTTCAGTCCTTCTGAGGACAAGAAGCAGCGACCACCCGCGAATGCTCGCGAAGAGGCGGGGCGTTGAGAGCTGTCAGCAGGAGCGAGCCAGCGAGCGCGCGCGGACAGACATAAGGGACGAAGGCCAGCGAACCACAACCACAGCGACGCTCGTACGCACACGCAAACAGAAAGAAACGTAGAGAGAGTCCGCTAGAGAGAGAGAGAGAGAGAGACAGAGAGAGACAGAGAGAGACGGGGAGAGAGAGAGAGAGAGAGAGAGAGAGAGAGAGAGAGAGAGAGAGAGAGAGAATGGCGAACGACAGCGCGATTGGCCGGTTGTCCTCCTTGGGGATAACCGGCGACAATCTGATCATTGCATTTGACTTCGCTATGGATAACCTGACGGGTGGGGCATCGTCTTTCGGCGGCGACTGTCTTCACGACGTTAGTAAGGGGTTTCCCAATCAGTACATGTTCTCTGCCGCCATAGTAGGACACGCCATGTCCAATCTTTGCGGCGGCAAGGCGGGACGTCCTGTTTTCTTGGGGTTTGGCGCTGCTGATAGGGATGTTTTCAGTCTCGGTACCGCGAACGAGCACTTGCGATACGAGATGCGCGCGGGGCTGCGGCGGTACAAGCAGATCGCACCTCATGTTCGGCTTGGAGCTTCGTCTTCGTACGTTGCACCGATCGAGGCAGCCATCGAAGTTGCCGAGAAGGACGGTTTCCATCTCTTGGTGATTATCACGTGCGGCCGGCGCAACGATATGCGGGCGACCGCGAGCGCGCTGGAGCGAGCAAGCAAGCACCCCCTGTCCATCGTTTTCGTCGGCGTGGGGGACGGACCGTGGACTTTCTTCCGTGACTTCAGGATGTGTTTGGCGGAAAACGACAGGGCGGAGTCCAGGATGGCATTGACCAATACTTCTTTCATCAGCTTCAGGGACATGTCGGCCATGCCTCGAGTCCGGGCGAAGAAGGATGTGCTCGTCTCACCTGGCTGCCTGCGTGAGCTTCCTGACCAGTACGATGACATGGCGCGAAGGGGGTTAATCACCGCGCATCGCGCCGGGTGCAGATGTGCACAACGTAGAAGCCATAGAATCCTTCTCCCGCCAATTGACGTATTTTGGGCAGAAGCGGCGGGGAGGTTAGTGTGTCGCGAGCCTGTGATGGAGTATGGACCTTACGCGTAGACGCATTGGGGGAGGGAGAAGGAAGGAACTACCTACCGTCTTCATCGGAACTTGTAATTATGATTCCCAATGCATCGGTCGTATATCCTGTCCAGATGCGTTCAGAATGTCGCGGGCAATTATGATTCTCAATGCATCTGTCGTATATCGTGTCCAGATGCGTTCAAAATGTTGCGGGTAATTATGATTCTCAATGCATCTGTCCTATATCCTGTCCAGATGCGTTCCAAATGTTGCGGGATGGCGAGTGGTGAAAGCATCCCTATGTCTGGCTGCTAGGAGAAAGAAGTCTTCGTGTACGATATGTAAATAATATGGAAAATAATAAAATATGCTATTGTGAAAGGCACCGCCCAGTGTCTCCCCCCAGTCCCTGGCCCTTCTACAGGACAAGACCGGAATGCAGGTGTGGCTTGGAAAAGTAGATCAGGTATGGGACGCTGGACCCGGTTTCCAGCACAATCGCGTCTCTCTCAATGATGTACTGTAATCATGTATCTAAGGGACGCTGGACCCGGTTTCCAGCAGGTGATGCTCCCCACCAATAGATGGAGCGGCCCGTTCTTGAGAAAAAAAAAAAGGCACCTGTTTTTTTTTCCGTTTTGCGGAAGGGGCGGAGGGGACGAGCATACGCGGACACGACAGTTTTTCAACAGAAATCTGGACGTATTTACGGTCAGATACACTTAGAATAGTCGTAGTGTGAGTATGCTCTGCAAAAAGGGGACGAACATTACGGTTTCTCCTGGTTTTTTTTTTTTTTTTTTTTTTTTTTTTTTGTTTCTCCTGTTTTATGACTGCGGTCTCTACAGAGGGAATTCTTTTTGTGGCGGTCAAGCATCGCTCATCGAGCAGGATTTTTTATACTACACCATCTCTTAAATGCATATATATTATGGACCTGTCAATGGTCCCCATACATTTGAAATGTTGAAATGTCGGATCAGTCCAAATGTATATGATCCATTATGTTGTCCTGATACATGCAGCCGAGCGACTGTGAAGAGAAGGCAGCGCTCACGGTAGTACTGGAAGGTGATCATAGTGGGCGCGGCCATAGCTGTGTGTGGGTGCCGCATTGGAGGAAGAGGCTGGCAAGCGTGGCGTGCGGTAGCGGTGGCCCTTGGATGCAATCGAGGAAAGGCTGTAAGCAGTGTAAGGGTTGGTGGATTCTTACTTACCTCATGGTCGGCGGGAGTGCTGAAGCGTGGTCGGCTAGATAATAGGCTTCAAAAATATTGCTTTTTCGAAGTTTGGCAGCAAAAATGTCGTCCGTTTGAAGTTTCCTTTGCAAAAATAGAGGTCTCTTTGCAGCTTTATCGGGTTCCCGTAGTTTGCCAGCAAAAATACCGCGTTTTGCAAAGTTTCACAGCAAAGGACCCCCAGGCCCCTAGCCTCAGGGACTCAGCGTTCCGCCCTCAGGCACTCAGCTTTTCTCTTTTTTTTTTTTTTCGCGGGCGTGGCCGAGGCATCTCGGCCGTGGCCATGCCCGAGATGCCTCGGCCACGTTTCTTTTTTTTTTTTTTTTTTTTTTTTTTTTTTGCGGCCTTGGCCGAGGCATCTGGGCCGTGGGCACGCCCAGATGCATCGGCCATTCCCGGGGGAAAAGAGGCTGAGTGCCTGAGGCCAGAACGGCGAACGCTGAGTCCCGGAGTCCCTGAGGCCAAAGGCCTAGGAGTCCTTCGCTGTGAAACTGGGCAAAACGCGGTATTTTTGCTGGCAAACTATTGGAACCGAAACCTCTATTTTTGCAAAGGAAACTTGGAACGGACGACATTTTTGCCGCCAAACTTCGAAATACCAATATTTTTGCTATTAACCCTTCAAAAAACTGTGGGAACAAAAGAAGAGATGCGAGGGTAGAAGTAGAGGAAGTCCCCTTGGCATCCATACCCGAGTTCAGGTAGTGCTTAGGCATGCATACCTAAGCTGAGAACTGCCGCTACAGTCTTGCCCCGAATACAACGTACGGTCATTATAGCCGAATTTGGGGTATCTTTCAGTGTAAATTTTCAGCTATAATGGCCGTACTATGTCGTATTCGGGGGAAGATTGTAGTTCTGTATTGTTGCATTGTTAATGGATTGGAGGCCAAAGAAGAGGGTTAAGCTTTTCATTTTCAGAAAAGACTTCAGTGTTGTCTCTGAGTCTTCATCGGGCACTGGCTTGTCAATAAGTGGGAAAGAGCTCAACGGCCAGTTAGATGATAATAGGGTAGATGTCGAGGAAGTAGCGTAGGCATACCTACCTGGATAATCATCGAGAAATGGCTTGCTTTTTTGGTTGAGAGAATGGAATTGCCTTATTACTCAAAGAGGCAGCAAAGAGGCCAGGGGGCCAAGTCGAACTTGGCCGTATTCGATCATGTTACTCACACTAGGCCCTCAAAATCGCAAATGAGTGGCCAGATTGAGCTCTTGTAAACGAAGGACTTGATCTGGCCGCTCATTTTGCGATTTTGTGATTTTGAGGGCTTAGTGTGAGTATACTCTTCTTCTTTTCTGGCCGCTGGTCTTCATAATCTTCTTCTTCCTTCTTTTTTTTTCTTCTCTTTTCACAAAGCCAGGCCGGCTGCTACAGGCAAGGTTATATGAGCACCCTCCCTATCTGCCTTTCTGGTTGCTCCGGTCTATTGGTGGGGAGCTGCACCTGCTGGAAATTGGGTCCGTCTTTCTTATGAATACATCCTAGTTGCCGAACCATGCAGAAAATGCATGCAGTAGATAGAGTCTTGGAGTGCTCCCCGAAAAGAAAAAGAAAAAAAAAAAAAAAAAAAAAAAAAGTCTTCGAATGTTCCAGAGTATTCTCTGCCAGCATTGATTGTCCTGGATTCTCCAGCCTGAGGGATTTCCTACTTTCATAAGTAGAGAATTCGTGTAAGTGGGACTTGACCCCGGGAATCCTCACAAGCAACCCCGAAAACTGGGGCTACTACCCAAGTGGGACTTGACCCCGGGAATCCTCACAAGCAAGCCGGGGCTAGGTCCCACTTGCACGGATTAAGAGATACTGACTGTAGAAAGAAAGCAAAGATTAATGGCCGAACTCTCCTACTTTGCGGAAGTGGGACCTTGCCCCCCCAAAACTGGGGCTACTACCCAACTCCGGCTACCATAGTGCTGGAAACAGAGTCCATAGTCCCTCATCATTGGAATTGATTGGATGAGTTGGATTTGATTGCATATATTTGAGCTGATCCAACTTCCGCCCGGGGCCGCAATCAAAATTTATATACATAAGACAGGGGTAAGAAGAGACAAAAGAAACAGCAAAACCGCGTCCATCATCCTCAACTCTCTCTCTCTCTCTCTCTCTCTCTCTCTCTCTCTCTCTCTCTCTCTCTCTCTCTCTCT